GGGCTCTTACGATTTCAAGAATAAAGGTATGCACACGAATAACAACAGCTACCCTTCCAATACGTTCGTCTATTACCAATATGCTACATTGCACTTGAAAGGGCCGGATAACACTACTACTGTCAGTATAAGCGTATTTGAACCAATTCATGTGCTTCTAGCAAATATGAGGGGATATGTACTGCGTTCCTTATTGGGCGACATCCATTATACTGACTGTTACGGGGGAATGCGTTTCTACTGGGGCGACTACGCCCGTGGCCAGGTTCGCGCCGAGTGTGCCTCCTCATTCATCACCAACGAGACCAAGTCAAACGCGCTCATTTTGCGGGCCAAGACGAATGCCGTTGGTATTGTCATCATCGGAAGGCTGGGCCAGTACTTCAATAACATCGACCTTACAAAATTCATGGTCGAGCAGCTTCAGTTTCACGTACAGTTCTTACGAAGGCCCCAGAGTGTGCTGAAGGTGCTGCACTGCAAGAATTGCTCGACCACCACCACAGAGGAGTCGGTGCTGGGCGCCGGCGCTGCGGCCGCGGCCAAGGCCCTGGACGGTGGCGGAGGGGTGCTCGCGGCTGCTATCGGCGTGCCAGTGGTGCTGCTGGCCGTGGCTGCCGGCGGTGCGCTGTACTGGTGGCGCACTAAGACAAGTTTGGTACCCGAGACTTCGGAGGACCAGTGTGCACCCCAGTCCTCATCTCAAAATGACTCTTCCAGCAGCTCAGAAAGTAATACTAGTGACGAGGACTAACGTGTTTTTTTTCTATCTCGGGCAAAGACTAACATCGAGACACATCGTTAGACACTGCATGATGCGAGTATGTAGGCACTAGTGAGCAGCGTTGGTCACCAGCAGCGAGCTGTGGTGCCTTACCAGAGGCTTGACCAGAGGCGAAGCACAGCTCTTGCGATATCCTATAGCGTAGGGTAGGGTGGGGTAATTTGGACATATTTTTACGTCTTCTCCGTCGTACCAAATTCCAGCTCAACCCTGGAAGAAGAAAACTGTTTCAGTTAGCGCAAATGTCACTTGCTTTCACCATGCAAGCCTCATTTTTGGACGAGCCGAGCATACCTTGAATAGCATAGCCTCACTTCTCCACCAAAGTCACGGTGTGTTCAAGTTGCCCCACTACTGTGGGCCTGTGGGGTAATTTGAACATACTGCCTTTACGTGCCATAAAAGCGATAATCTCGCCAGCACCGATGCCGTTTGAACCATAAACAATAGGCAAAATAGGCAGAACAATTCTAAACATTCCTTCATTTGGAAAATCAACACAACAAAAATAACAGTTGCCGAGTATCAATATCTGCACGCTGCACACCGGTCAGTTGACAGCAGTCACCTCTTTTCAATTAACCCGCGCCCTGATGGGGGGGGGGGGCATTTGGGCCCCCTGGGTTTTTTCTTAAATAGAGAAAAAAATGGCAGCGTACAGCGCCGCCAAATTCTCAGCACCTTCCCGGGCATTAATTTGACACCTTCACACAAAATTTCAAGTCACAGCTCACCTCGGGTCAGGAGTTATTGAGGTCAAACTGGGGTCATGTTCGAGTAAAAATGAGCAAAAAACATGACATCTTGAAACGCTCACCAAATCTACAGTTAACAAGCAGTTTTAAAGTACTTTATGTGGTTGTGTAGAGAAAAAACGGCGCTACAAAACTGTCATCTCGGATTTTCGAAGTTTTGGGATTTTCACCCCCCAAAATAATTTTTTTTAGAAAAACTCGAAAAAATTCCAAAAATATTTTGAATTTCGAAAAAACGGAAAAAATATGATAGTCCCTGCGCTCTTCGATATACATACCTATAATTTTAGATCGATACCTCCTTTTTTGGCCAAGTTATAGCGAAAAAACTTCAAAATTGATGACGTCAAATTTTGAACTCATTTTTTTTAGCAATTATAGACCACGTAGCGCAAAACGGAAACCACCATTGGCCACCAGGCACTGGATAGACCACCAGGCACCGGAGACAACCCCGTGACAAGTTGCATCGAATCAATACCCATTTTATGCAAAAATATCAACTTTGAAATTTGGCCTAATTTGACCTGACCTGGACCTGACCTTGACCTGACCTTCATCAGAACATAATCTCAACTGACCCCAAGGGCTACCTGTCCCACATAATCGCATTTGGCATATAAAATGGACCATAAAACATGTATCACATGATATTTCTAATTTGTGGCCCTCAGTGACCTGACCTCTGTGACCTGACCTGGTATCAGTGACCTCAAATAGCAAAATATGTGTTTGACGAACATGTCCCCATCGATGATTTTCAATGGAATGCATTTTACTCGATTTTACAACGCATTTCTTGAAATGCCTCTAAACGGTGAAAATTCGACCTTCGATCTGACCTGTGACGTCATCGGTTAGACCGAGGTCAATGAAATGGGGTCACAAGGTAGTTCCCCGTTGGGGCTGTCCAACGCCGTTTGCCGCTTGTCGCTATGTTGCGTCGTTCTCGAGATCTTAGGGGGGGGGGGGCAAAATGCCCCCCCCCCCCATCAGACCGCGCTGCTCGGCAGACCCCATCAGGGCGCGGGTTAACATAACGTGTATCATTTCCGTCCGATAAAACTCTCGTACAGCCCAAATTCTTTAACGAGCTTGCAAAAGATGACTGATGTCATCACTGTCTACCGTGGAAGTCGTATGGCTACCCATCTACGCTGGAGTACGAAAAACATCATCTCACGCTCTCAGTCCCAGCGGATAAAAACAACACCTAAGAATGATCCGCATAAAACTTGGCAGAAAGCTCGTTAAAGTACTTGGTCTGTATAGCTCAGAGGTAGAGCATTGGAGCGCTAATCCAAAGGCCCGGGGTTCGTGTCCCCGTACAGCCCAAATTCTTTAACGAGCTTGCAAAAGATGACTGATGTCATCACTGTCTACCGTGGAAGTCGTATGGCTACCCATCTACGCTGGAGTACGAAAAACATCATCTCACGCTCTCAGTCCCAGCGGATAAAAACAACACCTAAGAATGATCCGCATAAAACTTGGCAGAAAGCTCGTTAAAGTACTTGGTCTGTATAGCTCAGAGGTAGAGCATTGGAGCGCTAATCCAAAGGCCCGGGGTTCGTGTCCCCGTATAGCCCAAATTCTTTAACGAGCTTGCAAAAGATGACTGATGTCATCACTGTCTACCGTGGAAGTCGTATGGCTACCCATCTACGCTGGAGTACGAAAAACATCATCTCACGCTCTCAGTCCCAGCGGATAAAAACAACACCTAAGAATGTATAGTGTTATTTGAAAAGTATTGCAGCAAAGCTACTTTGTGCAGCACCAATAAAAGATGCTGCACTTTATGATGGCTACTTTTATGCAGCATGCCATCTTAACCCTATTAGTGGCAGGGGGGGGGGGGGGTTGTTTTCATCCACCCCTCAGGTTTTTCGGGAATATCTCCGAAACCGCTGAAGCTACGATGCTTAAATTTTCTGACTTTTCCTAAAACTAAATTGGGCACATTCCCTGAAAATTTCAAGTTCATAACTTTACCAAGGGCGGCTCCAGAGCACTGGGAATTGGGGGGTCCTATTCGTGAAGCGAGTCATTTGGGCGATGATCACGATGCTGATGTATTATAACTGTATGCACCAGTTTTATCATGTGATAACATATACAAAGTTATTGTGCATCCTCTTTTGACACGTTTTTGCTATAATAGGCGGATCCAGGCGTCCAAAAAGGGGGGTTATGTTTTACCTCCCAACATAGGTGCCCTGACACCGCCTATGCATGACCAATACAATTGTAGTCGTTCTCTCATAAGAAAATTGTAACATAACAAGACCATTACCACCCTTTTTAGAAACAGTACCAACAAAAACCTTATTTGCTATACTTTTTGTGTACCCCCAATCTCAATGATCTGTATCCGCCTATGATTTTTGAAAATGCATATTTTTAGGATCCATGTGAATTCCTGGTTCATTCTTTATCGATCGGCAAAAGTTGCGTTAAGATTGGTTCAGAAACCTGGCCGTGATAAGCAGTCTAAAATGTATCTGCAATTTGCCCGTTTTTACCCCCCTCAACCCCCCTTTTGACATTTTCTTAATTTTTTTTTTTAGAAATGTAGATCACGTTGAGCGAAGTCGAATGCCGTTTGAATTTTGAAAATCGGCCCGTTAGATCTCGAGATATCAAGGGGGGGTCGTAAACAGCCCCCCCCTGCCACTAATAGGGGTAGCCAGGAGCCTGCCACTAATAGGGTTAAAAACCGACCCTATGTAGTGATGTGGTTATATGTGGAGAAAAAAAAACAAAAACACTCATTTTGGGGAGAATAGGGACACACGCGGGAGAAAAGGGACAGGCACGAGGCTAAATTGGGACACATAAAAATGCGGCCAACATTTTTTTCTCGAATTATTTGTCTGTTTATGTCTTGGCAATCAATTGATAGTTGAAACTTATCTTTACACCATCTGCTTCGTTTAACCCGGCAGTTGCCACTGGGACAGGCACCGCCGATGGTAACACCACCGTGGTGGGGACCGACGCCGCGGGAGCGTCCAAATTGAGAGTCGGTCAGGGTGGCACGATCTCGATCGCCTTCTGTGGACTGCTTCTGCTGCTGATCCTCCTTGCATGTTGTGCAGTGTTCTGGCTGCGTTCCAAGAGGAGAAAGAGTGAAATGCCAACGTCATCGGAAGACGAGCTGTCGACGCAAAGTGGCAGCGGCTCCTCGAGCGATAACGACTGACGAGCGATGGCCGCATTTTGTCATCACATACGAAATAAGAAACTGGTGATGCGTGTCATTTCTAGATGTTTTCTTATGTAATTGTAAATGTTTTTTTTTGTAATACACATCCATTCTTATCCGTGTTTTGAAGAGTTTCTATGCACGATCTGCAGCAAGCACAAATTATCCTTTATTTGGGAGGTGCCGACATACAGTCGCAGGTGACATAGAAAGGTAGACAGCGGAACTGTCTTGTTGACTTTAAAGTATGCATGCCTACGTTTATTTTCTTGTACAGATATTTTGGCTATTGTTTACAAACAATATTTGGATAGCAATATCGAGCGGGAAGGACACAAACCTAGACTATTATTCTTACTTTGAGCAATCTGGAAATCATACAAACCGAGACATACACACTTTATTGGAGCAGCATGGCTATGATATCGTTGAAAATCCTGGTAGTCCGCCGTGGGCACGACTTGGCGACATCGTCTATCCAGCCTCGTTGGTATTACCGGAACTGGCTCAAACAGTCGAACGTGGTGCTACATGGGCAGCCAGTCAGAAGTACATATGGTTAGATAAGAATGACAAAGCCGAAGTATTCTACTTCTATGACTCCAAGAGCAAAGCAAACCAGAAGCTGTTCGATGAAGCAGTTAACGCCTGGTCAAAGTCGACATGCATATCGTTCACTAAGATGCCCAGCGGCGAGTGCTCTAAGAAAGCCTCGCACGCCGCTGTTTGTGTGCGAAACACGGGCAACTGCTGGTCTGCAGTCGGCAATATCTTCTCGTATACGAAGGCCTACCAGCTGATGTCAATTGGAGATGGCTGTGAACTATACGCGGCTGTTCATGAGATGGGTCACGCGCTAGGTTTGCAGCACACCATGGCTCGTGCCGATCGCGACAGCTTCATTACGGTCAACTATGAAAACTTTGAGGTCAAGTTTGACAGCAAAGTGTCTTTGGAAAGTTCAATGAAAAAAGACTGGTCGCAGGGCGCCGCGTGTAAGAAGGGTCAGGGCTTTCAGTCGACTACGCCACTCCCCTACGACTACAGGTCGGTGATGCAGTACGGTGAGGCAGACTTTGGAGACGGAGACTCTCGCATGATCTTCGCCGCCAAGGACCCCCGCTACCAGTACATGTTTGACTACACAAGATCTGGTGGATATCTCCAGTCCCACTATGATCTGCTTCTCATCAACATGATATACAAATGCGGCAAGCAATGGGCAGCCTCCTGCAAATCAGCTCCGAAGTGTGAAAATCACGGATATCTGCAGAAAAACTGTAAATGCGCATGTGCTGCAGGTTTCCAAGGGTCAAGGTGTGAAAAGAAGCACGGATCGCTGTTTCCGCCTTTAGACAGAGCCAAAGCGGTGATTGACGACCACAGGGCCGGTTTTTATAACTTCAAGAAGAGAGGCATGCACACGAACAACAACAACTACCCACTCAGCAGGTTCATCTACTACCAGTACGCCACGATGTACCTCAGGGGACGGGATAAGACCACCATGGTCAGCGTGAGAGTGTTCGAGCCGGGTGAGGTGGCTCGGTCGTACTCCATGAAGGCGTTCCAGGTGTCTGGCTTCTTCACGGACATGGATTCCAGAGACTGTGAGTTCGGAATGCGCTTCTACTGGGGCGACTTCGCCAGCGGTCGGGTTCGCACTGAATGTGTCTCCACATTCATCAACAACGAGCCCAAGTCCAACGCGCTCATGCTGCGGGCCAAGACGAATGTCATCGGCATCGTCATCATCGGGAAGCTGGGAGAGTTCTTTCCGTATGCCGAGTTCACCAAGTGGATGATCGAGATGCTTCAGTTCCGGGTGTGGTTCCTGACCAGGCCGCAGAGCGTGTTGAAGCTGCTGCAGTCCAAGGGTGGCCCCAAAGTGGTCATCGGTGCGTCCACCACCGAGGACCCTGTGTTAGGTGGAAGCGCCGTGGCCGCGGCCAAGTCCCTGGCCGGAAACGGAGGGGTGCTGGCGGCTATTATCGGCGTGCCAGTGGTGCTGTTGACGCTGGCTGCCGGCGGGGTCCTGTGCTGGTGGCGCGCGAAGAAGAGTCGGACACCGCAGACCCTTGCGGACAAGCTGTTCGGCTCCCAGTCGGAAAGCAGCTCGTCCAGTAGTGACGACGACTGATGGCTGATAGGTGCAGCGCGGCACCCGTTGATTAAAGTCATTTTTCGGCCATCGACTGCTGGAGCAATAAATTGGAGCGACTGCTTACTGTACCGCCTATACGTTTGACATGACGTGAAGTTTGTAGAAATTATAAAAAGATGATATTGGCTTCTTAGCTTGAGCTCAAATTTGGCATTTCAATAGCAGATTATTATTACTATAACACGTATTTTGATTGAAAAATGATTTATTTCTTCTTTTTTTTTTGGTATTATATAAAAAGTCACTTATAAAGTTTGGTGGTTGTCGCCCCGTGTCCTCTGGTATTTCACACGCCAACGACACTTATTTAGCCGGATGATAGACAAGGACTGTAGGAGAGCGATGGGTAGATAAGGATGGTGAGGAAGACGCCAGCCGCTGCCCGATTCCAGCCTCTCGATGGCGAGACCACTGTAATCGGACAGATCAACCGATACTCCGGCGCCTCGATGGCAAGGTTAGCCGGAGCCGACTGGTCGCACCCCTGTCTGAGCGGAGACCCCGCACCCGAGCCTCGATGGCAAGACCCGGGGAACGAGTTTAAGCTCAGTGACTCGATGGCGATACACTGTGGCCGCCTCCCTCACACACCCCGGAAGAGGCCGTATTATGAGTCCCGGATGGAAGGAAATGATCGGCTACTCGCACGCTGAGAAGACTCGCTGCTGTTCACTGTCCCGTCCCCTTTTCCACTGGTCCAGCTCCTCTCCACACCAGTTAAGATATTTCACTTGCTGTATTGTGCACCACCACCACACCACAGCCAGAGCACCACTTCCACCCACACAGCGAGCACTTCCCCGCCGAGCATCCAGAACGAACTCCCTCGAGCCTCGTGCGCCGACCCGAGGTCACCTCGCCGGCGCCCTGAGGGCAGGAGCCCACACGACCAATCACGGGACCGCACACAATGAGCCAGCTCAGTGCCGGCATAGCCCCGAGCGCCACGTGGTCGGCCGGCCGCCACATGGCCCGCTCAGTGGTCCGGGCGGCCCGGCCTGCAGCCGCCGGTGCTAACCGTGGTCAAAATTCGAATTTGTCTTAAAATCCGAGATAGCAGTTTTGTAGCTCTGTTTATCTTACACCTTTTTGTATTCAATAGATTTCCCTATCTACAAAACTGTAGGCGTGACAGCTTTTCCTGCAAAGCCTTTGGGGGGGGGGGGGGTCGAAAATGGCAGAACATAACGTCACTCTGACGTCATTTCTGGTCAAATTTCATAAGATTTGAAAAATACTTGGTCACATGGTGTAAAATTGATGTCCGGAGGGTCCCGATAGTTTGGATGTCCGTGAAGTTGGCGACGTCGCCAGCGACTTTTCCAGCGACGAGCACCGATTTTAGCCAAAACCTCGTCCAAGGTCAATTGGACCATGAGGATCACGAAAATCGAACCCATTCACCCCTAAACCTTGACCTTCAAGGTCAAATTCAAGGTCAAAGGACGGGGAACTGAAAAAGTGCCACTAAATATTGTCCGATTTTCAAAATTTTGGCACCAAAATGTAGCGCGTGCAAAGTTCTAGCCGCACATCGAAAACCATTTTCATCAAGGTCAAACTTCAAGGTCAAATTCAAGGTCAAAGGACGGGGAACTGAAAAAGTGCCACTAAATATTGTCCGATTTTCACAATTTTGGCACCAAAATGTAGCGCGTGCAAAGTTCTAGCCGCACATCGAAAACCATTTTCATCAAGGTCAAACTTCAAGGTCAAATTCAAGGTCAAAGGACGGGGAACTGAAAAAGTACCACTAAATATTGTCCGATTTTCAAAATTTTGGCACCAAAATGTAGCGCGTGCAAAGTTCTAGCCGCACATCGAAAACCATTTTCATCAAGGTCAAACTTCAAGGTCAAATTCAAGGTCAAAGGACGGGGAACTGAAAAAGTGCCACTAAATATTGTCCGATTTTCAAAATTTTGGCACCAAAATGTAGCGCGTGCAAAGTTCTAGCCGCACATCGAAAACCATTTTCATCAAGGTCAAACTTTAAGGTCAAATTCAAGGTCAAAGGACGGGGAACTGAAAAAGTGCCACTAAATATTGTCCGATTTTCAAAATTTTGGCACCAAAATGTAGCGCGTGCAAAGTTCTAGCCGCACATCGAAAACCATTTTCATCAAGGTCAAACTTCAAGGTCAAATTCAAGGTCAAAGGACGGGGAACTGAAAAAGTGCCACTAAATATTGTCCGATTTTCAAAATTTTGGCACCAAAATGTAGCGCGTGCAAAGTTCTAGCCGCACATCGAAAACCATTTTCATCAAGGTCAAACTTCAAGGTCAAATTCAAGGTCAAAGGACGGGGAACTGAAAAAGTGCCACTAAATATTGTCCGATTTTCAAAATTTTGGCACCAAAATGTAGCGCGTGCAAAGTTCTAGCCGCACATCGAAAACCATTTTCATCAAGGTCAAACTTCAAGGTCAAATTCAAGGTCAAAGGACGGGGAACTGAAAAAGTGCCACTAAATATTGTCCGATTTCCAAAATTTGGGCACAAAAATGTAGCGCGTGCAAAGTTCTAGCCGCACATCGAAAACCATTTTCATCAAGGTCAAACTTCAAGGTCAAATTCAAGGTCAAAGGACGGGGAACTGAAAAAGTGCCACTAAATATTGTCCGATTTTCAAAATTTTGGCACCAAAATGTAGCGCGTGCAAAGTTCTAGCCGCACATCGAAAACCATTTTCATCAAGGTCAAACATCAAGGTCAAATTCAAGGTCAAAGGACGGGGAACTGAAAAAGTGCCACTAAGTATTGTCCGATTTTCAAAATTTTGGCACCAAAATGTAGCGCGTGCAAAGTTCTAGCCGCACATCGAAAACCATTTTCATCAAGGTCAAACTTCAAGGTCAAATTCAAGGTCAAAGGACGGGGAACTGAAAAAGTGCCACTAAATATTGTCAGATTTTCAAAATTTTGGCACCAAAATGTAGCGCGTGCAAAGTTCTAGCCGCACATCGAAAACCATTTTCATCAAGGTCAAACTTCAAGGTCAAATTCAAGGTCAAAGGACGGGGAACTGAAAAAGTGCCACTAAATATTGTCCGATTTTCAAAATTTTGGCACCAAAATGTAGCGCGTGCAAAGTTCTAGCCGCACATCGAAAACCATTTTCATCAAGGTCAAACTTCAAGGTCAAATTCAAGGTCAAAGGACGGGGAACTGAAAAAGTGCCACTAAATATTGTCCGATTTTCAAAATTTTGGCACCAAAATGTAGCGCGTGCAAAGTTCTAGCCGCACATCGAAAACCATTTTCATCAAGGTCAAACTTCAAGGTCAAATTCAAGGTCAAAGGACGGGGAACTGAAAAAGTGCCACTAAATATTGTCCGATTTTCAAAATTTTGGCACCAAAATGTAGCGCGTGCAAAGTTCTAGCCGCACATCGAAAACCATTTTCATCAACGTCAAACTTCAAGGTCAAATTCAAGGTCAAAGGACGGGGAACTGAAAAAGTGCCACTAAATATTGTCCGATTTTCAAAATTTTGGCACCAAAATGTAGCGCGTGCAAAGTTCTAGCCGCACATCGAAAACCATTTTCATCAAGGTCAAACTTCAAGGTCAAATTCAAGGTCAAAGGACGGGGAACTGAAAAAGTGCCACTAAATATTGTCCGATTTTCAAAATTTTGGCACCAAAATGTAGCGCCTGCAAACTTCTAGCCGCACATCGAAAACCATTTTCATCAAGGTCAAACTTCAAGGTCAAATTAAAGGTCAAAGGACGGGGAACTGAAAAAGTGCCACTAAATATTGTCCGATTTTCAAAATTTTGGCACCAAAATGTAGCGCGTGCAAAGTTCTAGCCGCACATCGAAAACCATTTTCATCAAGGTCAAACTTCAAGGTCAAATTCAAGGTCAAAGGACGGGGAACTGAAAAAGTGCCACTAAATATTGTCCGATTTTCAAAATTTTGGCACCAAAATGTAGCGCGTGCAAAGTTCTAGCCGCACATCGAAAACCATTTTCATCAAAGTCAAACTTCAAGGTCAAATTCAAGGTCAAAGGACGGGGAACTGAAAAAGTGCCACTAAATATTGTCCGATTTTCAAAATTTTGGCACAAAAATGTAGCGCGTGCAAAGTTCTAGCCGCACATCGAAAACCATTTTCATCAAGGTCAAACTTCAAGGTCAAATTCAAGGTCAAAGGACGGGGAACTGAAAAAGTGCCACTAAATATTGTCCGATTTTCAAAATTTTGGCACCAAAATGTAGCGCGTGCAAAGTTCTAGCCGCACATCGAAAACCATTTTCATCAAGGTCAAACTTCAAGGTCAAATTCAAGGTCAAAGGACGGGGAACTGAAAAAGTGCCACTAAATATTGTCCGATTTTCACAATTTTGGCACCAAAATGTAGCGCGTGCAAAGTTCTAGCCGCACATCGAAAACCATTTTCATCAAGGTCAAACATCAAGGTCAAATTCAAGGTCAAAGGACGGGGAACTGAAAAAGTGCCACTAAGTATTGTCCGATTTTCAAAATTTTGGCACCAAAATGTAGCGCGTGCGAAGTTCTAGCCGCACATCGAAAACCATTTCCATCAAGGTCAAACTTCAAGGTCAAATTCAAGGTCAAAGGACGGGGAACTGAAAAAGTGCCACTAAATATTGTCAGATTTTCAAAATTTTGGCACCAAAATGTAGCGCGTGCAAAGTTCTAGCCGCACATCGAAAACCATTTTCATCAAGGTCAAACTTCAAGGTCAAATTCAAGGTCAAAGGACGGGGAACTGAAAAAGTGCCACTAAATCGGACAATAGTGCCTATTGTCCGATTTTCAAAATTTTGGCACCAAAATGTAGCGCGTGCAAAGTTCTAGCCGCACATCGAAATTCATTTTCATCAAGGTCAAACTTCAAGGTCAAATTCAAGGTCAAAGGACGGGGAACTGAAAAAGTGCCACTAAATATTGTCTGATTTTCAAAATTTTGGCACCAAAATGTAGCGCGTGCAAAGTTCTAGCCGCACATCGAAAACCATTTTCATCAAGGTCAAACTTCAAGGTCAAATTCAAGGTCAAAGGACGGGGAACTGAAAAAGTGCCACTAAATATTGTCCGATTTTC